CTCCCGGGTTCACGCCATTCTCCTGCCTCAGCCTCCCTAGTAGCTGGGACTACAGGTGCCCACCACCATGCCCGGCTAACTTTTTGTATTTTTAGTAGAGACGGGATTTCACCATGTTAGCCAGGATGGTCTCAATCTCCTGACCTCGTGATCCACCCGCCTCGGCCTCCCAAAGTGCTGGGATTACAGGCGTGAGCCACCGCGCCCGGCCGCTAATATTTTATATGTTAGTAGGCATGGGGTTTCATCATGTTGCCCAGGCTGGTGTCAAACTCCTGAGCTCAGGCAATTCATCCACCTTGGCCTCCCAAAGTGCTGGGATTACAGGCGTGAGCCACCATGCCCGGCCAATTTCTTAAATTTTTTTAGAGATAGGATCTCACTTTGTTGCCTAGGCTACAGTGCAGTGCGCGGCACTATCACGGCTCACTGCAGCCTTGAACTCCTAGCCTCAAGTGATCCTCCCATCTCAGCCTCCCAAATAGCTGGGACTGTAGGTGCACGTCACCATGCCCAGCTAATGATTTTTTGTAGAGATGAGGTCTCCCTATGTTGCCCAGGCTAGTGTCGAACTCTGCTGAGGTCAAGCCATCCTTCTGCCTAGGCCTCCCAAAGCATTGGGATTATAGACGAGAGCCACTGCACTCTGCCATTGTTTGTTTCTAAATAAATTGGTATTTCAGTCTTGATTTTCTTTTTCACTTGGGAGTTAATTAGAAGGGTGGTTTGGAATGTCCATGTCAACAAGAGTGTTTTGTTATCCTTTTGCTATTAATTTCTAATTGTGTCACTTTGTAGTTGCAGAACCCTGTGTTATGGGGGTCTGTCTGCATGGGGGTCTGTCTGTGTTATGGGGGTCTGTCTGCATGGGGGTCTGTCTGTTATGGGAGTCTGTCTGCATGGGGGTCTGTCTGTGTTATGGGGGTCTGTCTGCATGGGGGTCTATCTGTTATGGGGATCTGTCTGCATGGGGGTCTGTCTGTGTTATGGGAGTCTGTCTGTGTTATGGGAGTCTGTCTGCATGGGGGTCTGTCTGCATGGGGGTCTGTCTGTGTTATGGGGATCTGTCTGCATGGGGGTCTGTCTGTGTTATGGGGTTCTGTCTGCATGGGGGTCTATCTGTTATGGGGATCTGTCTGCATGGGGGTCTGTGTTACGGGGATCTGTCTGCATTGGGGTACATCTGTGGGTCTGCGTTGAGGTCTGTGTTACGGAGGTCTGTCTGCATGAGGATCTATCTGTTTTGGGACTCTGTCTGCATTGGTCTGTTTTGTTTGTGGTCAACTCATGTGCATGTTGAGTGTGTTTGGGAAGAACATGGATTCTCTGTGGGTTAAAGAGTTCTGTACATGTTCTCCTGTGTCTGTTGTATTACTCATTACTTAAATCTTAATTTTTGTTAATTTTAAGTTACTTTTGTTAAAACATACATATTTAGAACAGCAGTCCCCAAAGCCACACTCAGCCTTGCAGACGTCCTTGCATGCTGAGGTGAGAAGTGCACCTTTGCTGGTACGCTGCCTCCTCTCCTCTCTTCTCCTTTCCTTTTTCCTTTTTCCTTTTTCCTTTTTCTTTTCCTTTCCTTTCGACAGAGTCTCACTCTATCATCAGGCTGGAGTGCAGTGGTGCGATCTTGGCTCACTGCAACCTCCGCCTCCGGGGTTCAAGTGATTCTCCTGTCTCAGCCTCCCAAGTAGCTGGGACTACAGGTACCCACCACCACACCCAGCTGATTTTTGTGTTTTTTTGTTTGTTTGTTTTTTGTTTTTGAGACAATCTCGCTCCGTTGCCTAGGCTGGAGTGCAATGGCGTGATCTTGGCTCACTGCAACCTCCACCTCCTGGATTCAAGCGATTCTCCTGCCTCAGCTTCCCAAGTAGCTGGGATTACGGGTGCACGCCACCATGCTGGGCTAATTTTTGTATTTTTAGTAGACACGGGGTTTCACCATGTAGGCCAGGCTGGTCTCGAACTCCTGACCTCAAGTGATCCGCTACCTGGCCTCCCAAAATGCTGGGATTACAGGCGTGAGCCACCGAGCCCGGCCACACTGCCTTCTTTTCATTCCTCTGTCTTGCATTCTGTCCATGCCCCACTGCAGAGACGAAGGGTGTAGCGCCCATTCCCCATCCTCTCACCAGCATTCTGTCTACTCAGCAGAAACCCAGTTCCACTGTTAGCTTTACAGTGACCATGTGGCATCGTGACCATGGGGTGGCCGTGTTTCCTTTGTGCTGCTTTTGGTGTTCCCTGGAGGAAATCGTTGTGTACCCGCCCCCCTCCTCCTCCTCCTCTCCCCCATTTTCTATGAACTGATTATTCTTTCCTAAACCTTCCAACAAATCTAGGACTCTGCTCTCACAGACCCCTGCACATTGGGTCGTCTGGAGCTGGGTTTTCTCCTTGGCAGTGGCCTTCCTGGAGCCCTGGACTGCCAGCAACCAGCCCAGCTGGCAGGGCCACTGAGCAGGCTTCCCTACGCCCTCTCCCTTCTACACTCCCCCACAATCCATCTGCCTCCTGTCTACAGGGCCCCTTGTTTCCTGGGCCCTGGCTTACTCTCCCTGGTTAGTCCTTTGTTTTGGTGGAGTACATCCAGCAGCTTCCTCTAAAAGGGTTCAGAGGATGTGAAAGTTTCGAAGACTCTAAAGATGTGAAAATATCTTTATTCTGCCTGTATGCTTGAATGACACCTTGGTTGGGTGAGATACTAGGTGGGAAATAATTTTCTTTCAGGATTTTGAGGCATTGTCCATTACCTTCTGGCTTGCAGCGCAGCTGTGTGGTGGTGCCCTGGACTATTAAGACTTTTTTTTTTTGAGACAGAGTCTTGCACTGTCGCCCAGGCTGGAGTGCAGTAGTGCAATCCTAGCTCACTGTGGCCTTGAACTCCTGGGGTGTTCAAGGGGATTGAGTGATTGTCCCTCCTCAGCCTCTCAAAGTGCTTGGATTACAGCTACTGTGCCCAGCCAGAATTTCCTTACATTTTCTTTCTCCCTTACTTTCTTTCTTTCGTTCATTCTTTCATTCTCTCTCTCTTTCTCCTTCCTTCTTTCCTTTTCTTTCTTTCTCTTTCTTTTTTTCTTTTTTTTTTTTTTTTTTTTCAGAGTCTTACTCTGTCACCCAGGCTGGAGTGCAGTGGCAAAACCACAGCTCACTGCAGCCTCAACCTCCTGGCTCAGGCGATCTCTGCCTCAGCCTCCCAGTAGCTAGGACTACAGGCATGTGCCACTGAACTTGGCTAATTTTTTAATTTTTCTTTTGTAGAGATGAGGTCTCACAGGCTGGTTTAGAATTCCTGACCTCAAGCAATCCTCCTGCCTTGGGCTCCCAAACTGCTGGGATTACAGATGTGAACCATCACGCCCAGCCTCCTTACCTGTCTTTGTTTGTTTGAGACGGAGTTTCGCTCTTGTTGCCCAGACTGAAGTGCAATGGCATGATCTCGGCTCAGTGCAACCTCCACCTCCCGGGTTCAAGCGATTCTCCTGCCTTAGCCTCTTGAGTAGCTGAGATTACAGGCATGTGCCACCACGCCTGGCTAATTTTGTATTTTTAGTAGAGACGGGGTTTCTCCATGTTGGTCAGGCTGGTCTTGAACTCCTGACCTCAGGTGATCTGCCTGCCTCGGCCTCCTAAACTAAAGTGCTGGGATTACAGGCGTGAGCCACTGCACCCGGCCGGCCTTTTTACTTTTTTTTTTTTTTTTTTTTTGAGACGTCTCGTTCTGTCGCCCAGGCCGGAGTGCAATGGCTCGATCTCGGCTCACTGCAAGCTCCGCCTCCTGGGTTCACGCCATTCTCCTGCCTCAGCCTCCCGAGTAGCTGGGACTACAGGCACCCACCACCACACCCGGCTAATTTTTTGTATTTTTAATAGAGACAGGGTTTCACCGTATTAGCCAGGATGGTCTCGATCTCCTGACCTTGTGATCCACCCGTCTTGGCCTCCCAAAGTGCTGAGATTACAGGCTTGAGCCACCACGCTCAGCCCCTTTTTACTTTTTAAGGCTTAATAATATTCCATTTTCTGGATCTGCCACATTTTGTTTATCCATTCATCCATTGTGGAAACCTGGATTCCTTCCACATTTTCGCTGTTGTGAATAATGACCACTGCTGTGAACATTCCCCGTCGGAGTGCACACATCTGTTCGCCTACCTGCTTTCAGCTCTTTTGGGTATATACCCCAAAGCAGAATTGCTGAATCCCGTGGCAGTTCTGTTTTTAGTGTTTTGAGGAATGAGAATTCACCTCGATTTTGCATGAATCCCACTCTTAGCATGGCACTGCCCTCTCTCCCCTCTCCCCTTACCTCTGGTGAGGGAGTTGGAGGATGGTGGACTTCAAGCTGAGCACAGTCTGGAGGAACCGTCTCCTGCAGCCTACATGGGAAGCTCCCTCTTGGGGGATGGGGGTTGTCCAGGGGACCCCACCTGTTTCCGACCTTTCCCTGTGGCCCTCCCACAGCTCCTCCAGCTGGTCCCTGCCTTCCAGTCTCCTGTACCCTGCCAGGGGCCCTCCTCCACTGGCGCTGGTCTTTTGTCTATGGATTCATCTTTATTTTCTCCCTTACTCTCTTTGTGATCATTTCAGAGGGGTCTGGGGAGAAGGGCGGTCTGGAGCTGGCCTTAGTCCTGCCTTTCGTGAGGCACACAACAGTGTTCGAGCTCCAGGGGTCCTCCTGCCGGTCAAGCGGGGGGCCGGCCGTGAGGACTAAGCAGTCCAGAGGCAGCCCCGCTGTACATGAAGCCGGGCACGTGCTGGGTTGGGGGATGTCCTGGCACAGATTACTGTGCAAAGCCACAGAGGGCCACACGGCCTGAGGCCCCGCGCCGGGAGCTGGCGCTGGAGCAGCGGGAGGTTGAGCAGACGGCGCTTTAGAAAGTGCCCCCTGGCCGCTGAGGGAGCCAGCTCTGAGGGTCAGCGCGTGCTGGGTAGGAGAGGTGAAGGGGAGCTGGCGCCGAGGCCCTCGCCGACCCGCTGCCCTTTCCCCGCAGGTGTGCGAGCCGCCGGAGCGCAGGCGCCCGGGCCGCCACTGGAGCGTCAGCATCGACGAGCGCCGGCGGCTGGCCATGCTGGGCGGCCGGGAGAGGCCGGGCGCCGCCGGGGCCCCGCTACACTGCAGGGTGCGCGGGGGCGGGTCCTCCCAGCCGGGTCCCAGCCCCGCCCCGCCCCGCCCCGCCCCTCCACCTTGCCTCCCTGGACTCAGTCCAACTGGGCCCTTTACCCTGCCGCTCCCGGGCCCCACCCTTATCCCCTTCCCGCCCCTCAAGGCTCCCTGACCCACCCTCGCCCGCAGGACATCGTGCAGATGGTAGCCCAGCTGGTGTCAGAGGACGTGGACAAGGACGTGCTGTTTCCCCACCCGCTGAGGTCCACTGAGTCCACCAACGCCTTCCAGGCCTTCCTGGCGCGGAGTGCGCCTTTCTGGCATAATGCGACTTTCGAGGCCCGGGCCTCGAAGTCACCCCCTTCCTAAGAGCCCGACTCAGCCCATTGTGTGTCTTCCAGTGCCTTTCCTTGGGGGCCCAGGGTGGGGGCAGCCTCTGCGCCTTCTTTGTGCCCCACCGGGGTTATCCCGACCACCCATGATGGTCAGGCAGAACCTGGCTCTGGACAGCCTGCAGCTCCTGAGGCCTTGGAGACCGGGCTAGGGGCTATCAGAGCCCATCTAGGGGAGGGAAGTACTGCCCCAGGTCAGTTTGAGGGGGCTCTGGCAAGGCCTGGGTAGCAGGAGCTTGCCCTCGGGACCGCTGGAAGGAGGCCTCGGGGTACCTGGGCCTGTCTGAGGTGCACTGGTGTCCTGGGAGGCCCCAGTGGCAGGCGCTGCCTAGAGACTCAGCTCCTTTGCTGGCCTGGTCTGGGGAACTGGGTACCTGCCTGCACCAGGCTGTGAGATGGGCCGGGGAGAGTTCTCCAGGGGGTGGGGTCTCACATTGGGTCCTGCCTCTGAAGACCCAGAAGGGCGCACGGGATCCCACGGGTGCTGTGGTGGGGAGCAGCAAGCCCAGGGACCCAATACGGTGCCCAGCTTAGAGGGAGGCTGGCTGGAGGCAGAGCTGCCTCCTGGCCTCTGGACAGCGATGCTGGTGGTGGCCGAGGGCCAAGGGGGTAGCCTACACAGGGGGTCTGAGCAACTGCTTACCTGTCAGCTGCAGAGTTGGCTGGAGCAGGGGCCTGTGGGTCATGGTCCACTGGGTGACTGCCTTGTTTCCAGGCTGCAGGGCCCTCGGAATGGTGGTGTCCCAGCTGCATTTTGGGGATACTAAGTTGCAGGAGGACTGGATTGGGAGGCGGGGCAGGAGGGCTGTGAGCATGGGTTCCCAGCCCGGGGTGGGTGGGGGTGGGGAAAGGGCCCTGGACTCCGGGACTGACCGTTAGGGGCCTGACTGGGCTTCTGTGGAGGTGGCTAAGTGGAGGAGGCTTTGGGGCAAGCGGAGGTGATCACTCCTGGGCCCCAGGTGAGGGCAGGAGCTGGACCTGTGCGGTGGCCTGGACCACCAGACACACACAAGCTGGCTGTGCTGCCCACCTGGCCTCCACCCTTCCCCTTCCCACCGCTGAGAAGCCACCTGCTGCCCTGACACTGGATCCCTGGCCTGACTTGAATCCTCTGCACCTGCCTGTGTCCCCTTCTTACTGTAAGACTCAGTGAAGTTCCCTCCTCCTTCGGGAAGTCTTCCAAGATTACACAGCCAGGTGCCCCCCTTCTCTCCCAAGTCCTCTGAATGTCATTTGGTGCACCCTAGGGATCCTCTGCATTTCTCAGGAGCCCTAGGGTAGGTGGATGGAGGGCAGATCCTCCAGGAGCTAGAGCAGGTGTCCTTAAGGGTGTGGTGAGTTTTGGGCAGGGCATTGGGGCCATAATGACCCACCCCCTCTGAGGTCCCTGATGATGATGTGGGGAATGGGGTCCTATGGGCCCAGCTCCATGCCAGGCAGGAAGATGCAGGTGAGCCCTGCATCCCGAGGTGTAAACAGGGCAGAGCGGAGCTGACAGGTAAGCAGTTGCCATGGGGATGGCGAGCTGGGCAGTCCTCTGTTCCTGGGTGGCTTTGAAGGACCCCTTGTTATGACTGTGACTTGGGGATGGGCTGGGCTCATCCCGCCAGCTCTCCTGCCCTCGTTTGGGTGTCTCCTGAGGCAGCAGTCAGAGGGTGGTGGTCCAGGACGCTGGCGATGCTGGGATGGTTGCCCTCTCTGCTCCATGAGGTCTCCCTACAGAGCGCCTCCCCCATGGTGGCAGCAGAGGCAAAACCCTGGCCTCCTTCAGGCTGAGGCCCAGAGCCGACCTCCTGGTGGGTAAGGTGGCCACAGGGCCAGCCGGCAGCAGGGTATTGGCACTGAGACGCACAGGCCTCTCCAACAGAGGTGGTGCCAGGACAGAGGCAGTGCCTGGAGACTGCCTGGGTTGTCACAACTGGGATTTGTGTACTAGTTTTCTGTAGCTGCCATAAAAATTGCCACAAATTCAGTAGGTTTTGGTTTTTCTTTTTTTTTTTTGGTGTTGGTGGGGGCGGGGGGGCAGGCTTCTATGTTGCCCAGGCTGGTCTTGAACTATTGGACTCAAGTGATCCCCCCACCTTGGCCTCCTGGGTAGCTGGGACTGCAGGCGCATCCAACCACACCCGGCTTTTTTTTTTTTTTTTTTTAAGTTTTTGTAGAGAAACAGTCATGGTATGTTGCCCAGGCTGGTCTTGAACTCCTCGACCCAAGCAATCATCTTGCCTCAGTCTCCTGAGTAGCTGGGGCTATAGGAGTGTTCCACTGGTACCTGGCTTTGAGTGTTTTAAAACAACAGTAATTTATTAGCTAAGTTTTATAGAAGTTCAAAATGGGTATCTTTGGGCTCAGAATGAGGGGCTGGCAGAGTTCTGTTCCTTCTGGAGGCGCCAGGGGAGACTCTGTTTCCCTGATTTTTCCAGCCTCAAGAAGCTGCCCACATTCCTTGACTGGTAGTTCTGGTCTCCTTTGGAGCGGCAGTGCCCCTTTCTGCCCTGCCCTTCTCTGCCCACCTCTCCTCTGCCTCCCTCCTGCACCCTGAAACACCCTTGTGGCGACGCTGGGCCCACCCGGAAGATCCAGGGTCGCCTGCTTGCTTTCGGGTGAACTGGTTAGCGCCCTTCCTAACCTGCCACTTAACCCACTTAACCCAGCCTGCCCCAAGGTTCTGGGGATTTGTGCACAAGTATCTGTGGGAGGGGCATTCTGCCTTCCACAGGGGCTGCCGGCACCTGGTGGGTAGAGGCGGGGGTGCTGTGCTGCTCAGGATCCCGAAGTGCACGGGCAGCCCCAAACCACGAGGGCCCGGCAGGAAACCCTGGGGCAGAGGAGGGTTCGTGGGGCGGGAGCGCATGTGAAGCCCACCTTGCAAGGAGAGGGGCACGCTCGTCTCGGGACGGCAGAGGGCGGGTCTCCGAGGCGCGTGGAATCAAGGGGACGGAAGAAGCAGTCTCGGGAGTGGGAAGGCTCCTGGGAGGGGCGTGAGGATCTCCCGAAGTATCGCAGCAGCAGTGAGGTGCTTAGGCCGTCGCCCCGGCCGCCACTGCGCCTCCCTACCCGCAGGCCTCCGCAGCGCCACGGGCGGCCGCGCGGGGTAGCGTTTGGGGGCTCCCGGGGACGCGGTCTCCGGCTCGCAGGTCCGCCCAGGGTTGGCCGCGTGGTCCCCCGGGCTTCCCACGCCTGATTCGAATTGTGATTCCGGCTGGCTCCGGACCGAGCCGAGGCCGCTCCGGCACCACACAGGAGCCGCGCGGGCGGGGGCGCGGGGCGCCTGGGAGATGTAGTTCGCGGCCTGCCTCTGCGCACCAGACAATGCCCGGCGCTGCCCCGCTGGAGAAACACCTTCCTTGGCTTTGCAGAAACACCGCTTACTATTAATACAGCAACGAATACAGCTTTAAAAACGCACCCACAGTGTCCTCCCTGGAATAACAGCTGTTAACATTACCTGAAGGTTATCCCAGATATTTCTAAATGTATATGGGGAGATAAAAGGATGTAATGGAAATACAGAAATACGTGTCGAGCTGCTACTTATACACTTTTAAATATTTAAAGAAAAAAATTGCTAAAAGCAGATGAATGCTTCTTCACCTCAAGTTTAAAAGTCTCCTTAGGATGGTCGGGCGCTGTGGCTCAGGCCTGTAATCCCAGCACTTTGGGAAGCCAAGGCAGGCAGATCGCTTGAGCTCGGGAGTTGGAGAACAGCCTGGGCAATATGGCGAAGCTCCACCCATATTGAAGATACAAAAATTAGCTGGGCATGGTGGTGCGCGCCTGTAGTCCCAGCTACTTGGGAGGCTGAGGTGGGAGGATCGCTTGAGTCCAGGAACTTGAGGCTGCAGTGGGCCAAGATAGCCCCACTGCGTTTGAGCCTGGGTGACAAGAGTGAGACCCTGTCTCCAAAAAAAAAAGTCTTCTACGATTATTTTTAGAAATTACAAAAACATCAGGAGATGGGTGTGTTTGGTTTTCAGCAGCACAGCACGGTTCGGCTGAGGTGGCACAGGCTGACTTCTGCCTGTGAATGGTGAAAAACTAGCACTGTCATTTCTGTATCCCCTGGCAGGGTATTTCTTACCGGAAGATCAAAGCTCACTACCAGTATTTGACCCACTGAAAGTCTTTGTTTTGATTTACATCTTTACTGGTTGGACTTAAGATCAGTTTTTGTGGCCGGGTGCGGTGGTTCAAGCCTGTAATCCCAGCACTTTGGGAGGCCAAGGCGGGCGGATCACAAGGTCAGGAGATCGAGACCACAGTGAAACCCCGTCTCTACTAAAAATACAAAAAATTAGCCGGGCGCGGTGGCGGGCGCCTGTAGTCCTAGCTACTCAGGAGGCTGAGGCAGGAGAATGGCGGGAACCCAGGAGGCGGAGCTTGCAGTGAGCCGAGATCGCGCCACTGCACTCCAGCCTGGGCAACAGCGTGAGACTCCGTCTCAAAAAAAAAAAAAAAAAAAAAAAAAAAAAAGATCAGTTTTTGTTGTTGTTGTTGTTGTTGTTTTTAGACAGGGTCTTGCTCTCCCACCCAGGCTGGAGTGCAGAGGTGCCGTCTCGGCTCACTGTGAACTCTGCATCTCAGGCCTAAGCTATCCTCCCGCCTCAGCCTCTAAAGTAGCAGGGACTACAGGCGTGTGCCACCACGCCCGGCTAATTTTTATATTTTTTAGTAGAGATGGGTTTTCACCATGTTGCCCAGGATAGTCACGAACTCCTGGGTTCAAGTGACCTGCCCAAAGTGTTGGTATTTCAGAGCCAGAGCCCTGGTTTTATATACTTTATTATGTTCCCCTCCCTGCTAGATTGCAAGCCCTCTGAGGGTAAAGGCGCTGTTTCCTTACCCTCCAAGGCCTAGAGTGGCCTGTAGCTTGAAGTAGGTGTTTAACAAATAATACATGAGTAAATTATTGTGTTAATCACTTTGTCTTGCTCTGAAATTATCTCAAGCCTTTCCTCTCTGAGTAACTTGATATTCTGCCCATTGCTGTTTTTGACTCAGTCCAGCCACAGTGAGATTTCGGTGCTTTCAGTTTCCTGGGCTCTTAAATCTTCCTCTCATCCTGCTGTTTTATCGTCTAGTATTTGAATTCCTGATTGTTGAATTCATGCTGCTATGAAGATCTGAAAGCAGTCCTGTGGAGTCCTCTTCTGTTTCTTCAGTTGTGTTTTTTTATTCATTTATTTTTTTTTTTAATTTTTGTTTCTTTGAGACGGAGTCTCACTGTGCTGCCCCCAGGCTGGAGTGCAGTGGTATGGTTTCGGCTCCGGGGTTCATGCAATTCTCCTGCCTCAGCCTCCTGAGTAGCTGGGACTACAGGCACGCACCACCATACCCAGCTAATTTTTGTTGTTGTTGTTGTTGTAGTTTTAATAGAGATGAGGGTTCACCAAGTTGGCCAGGCTTGTCTCGAACTCCTGACCTCAGGTAATCCTTCTGCCTTGGCCTCCCAAAGTGCTGGGATTACAGGTGTGAGCCACCGCGCCCGGCCCTGTTGTGTTCTCTTCCATACCGGTTTCTCACCGGCCCCTCACACCCTCGCTGAATTGTTTTTCTGTTGTTGAATGACATGGATGTGGTCATGTGCCACCTCAGCAATGTTCCCACCTCAGCCTCTGGGGATATGCCACTACTTCTGTCACTTCTGTCCTGACGCGAAAGCTCTTTCCTGAATGCCTATTCGCTCCTTTTTTTTTTTTTCTTTTGGAGACGGAGTCTCACTCTGTCGCCCAGGCTGGAGTGCAGTGGCACAAACTCGGCTCACTGCAAGCTCCACCTCCCGGGTTCACTCCATTCTCCTGCCTCAGCCTCCTGAGTAGCCGGTACTACAGGTGCCCGCCACCATGCCTGGCTAATTTTTTCTATTTTTTAGTAGAGACGGGGTTTCACCGTGTTAGCCAGGATGATGTTGATCTCCTGACCTCGTGATCCTCCCGCCTCGGCCTCCCAAAGTGCTGGGATTACAGGCGTGAGCCACCGCACCCGACCGGATTCTTCTTAATTCTTTGTTTTTATTGTTTGACTTACCTGAGGTCTTTGGACTTTGCCTCTGAGCTGGCTTAAGGGCAATCCACCTTTTTCACTGGTCTGGAGTGGGGAGGCAGAGTAGGGGTCGGCTGGAGGAACAGGGCTCTGTGCTGTCTTTTGAGAGTTTACTAAACGTCACTCTGCATGGTAAGGGGTGTGTCCTCTCCGCTGCGGTGTCCTGGCTTGAAGTTCAGATTGTCTCCCTGGGACACCAGACCCTGCGCCGTACTCCCTCCTAAGGACAGCTTTGACTGTCTCCCCTCCAGCAGTCAGTTCTCTCCACCCCCAACAGGAGAAGGAGCAAAGGCTGGTGTCTGCAGGAGTCTCCCCTCCAGGCCAAGGCCAGGGGAGAGTGTGCATGTCACTGTCAGGATGTGTCCTGGTGGCGTGGCCGGGTTTTCAGGGTGAAGCGCCTCCGTTTCTGGGATGGCAGCGGAAGCAGGCACTACACACACAGCTTCGGGGGCTCTCCCCATGCCTCCTAGCTGCCTGGCACTTTCTGTTGTTTCTGGCTAACTTTCTGACCATGCCAGGAGTTGGTGGAAGGAGATCTCAGGCCGCAGCGTTGCTTTCCCGCTGAGGAGACAGAGGTAGGCCGGGGCTGTAGGACAGGGGAGGCAGCAGCCCCACCTTCTTTCTAGGGAGACACTGCCTGTCTGTCATTGCCCCTCTCCTGCACCTGGCCCCTGGCTGTCTGCTCTTCCCACCCAATCACCAGCAAGCCAGCTCCTGTTCCCTGCGGCCCGTAGGATGTGTCCTGGGACCCACAGCCCTCTCTCCCCAGAGACAGCACTGCCTTGCAGCTTCGGTTCCTGGCCCTGTGCTAACCCTGGCAGGGTTTTCCTTTCTAGTCTGCTCTGCAGCCAAGACATTGTGGCCACTGCTCTCCTCGGGACCCCCACCTGGCTTTCTCCCAGCACATGCTGTTTTCTGCCCACCTGGCTG